AATGGTATATGACGCATACGGTGTACCGTCTCAGTTCAACCCCCCATAATAGTCACGGCCGCCGACCGTGACTAATCCGTGACTACGTTTAGTCACGGTTATGTGGCGGTGACTTCATTTAGTCACGCCCATTAAGTCACGGTTTTAGTCACGGATTTTTTGAACTGGCGTCCGTGACTACCTCCGTGACTACACGCGTGTTTTTTTGTAGTGAACAAATGTTTAATATTAATGTTTATTAAACATCAACAAGTTGCACCAATAACTTTTTTGAGAATACAATATTTAATAAATTAATAGTAATTTCTTGTGCAGTCACTAGATAAGTTTGTATCGGTTCTAAGTGATCATCCACCCAATTTAAAGGTATATATGTAGAAATTTCCTTGTTTGATAACTATAGTTGCTAGCTTTTGATTACAACCAAATAGTATTCCACTACATTCCAAATCAATGTGAGGGACATACAGTTTTGTCCTTGTTTGATACTTGTCCTATTAGCTTTGTACAAAAAAATTCTATTTCATTGGATTCCAAACCAACAATTGTGGCACATTGTGTTAAAAGGATAACACACTAAGTAGAGGTTTTCACCTATTTCATTTTTTTTTGGATGAATCCTATTTCATTTTAATTGCACCATGGTATGTTGCCACAAGTTGGAAAGCAGGATCAGTCTTAGTAGCAAGTAATGCATCACAAATAGGGAAAAGGGTCCAGTAGACCCTCGAACTTACATAAAAAGGTCAAATAAGCCCTTATATAGGAGGCTCTGCCCGGCCGTCGCCATTTGGGCCCGTTCCCGGTGGAATATTTTGATGAATTTTTTTGCGCATCTTATTCATTAAATTTAGTTTACTCATACCAAATTTCAGCTAACAATTCAATCTGGATACATTCAAATGAATTCTTGAAGATAAATGCACAGTTAAAAGCGCAGTTATCTTCAAGAATTCATTTGAATGTCTTCCCGATTAAAGTTTTAGCTGTAATTTAGTATGAGTAAACTAGACTTAATAAATAAGATGCTCAAATATTTTCATCAAAAAATTCCACCGGAAACACCTCAAATGGCAAAGGCCAGACAGAGCCTCTATATAAGAGATTATTTGACCTTTTTATGTAAATTCGATGCCATATCTGACCTTTTTCCCTCACAAATATTATAACAGAATTTTTATACTTTCCATTAGTACATTTCCTCAAACACAAACACGTACACGAGGCTTCTAAAATACGACAATCCAAGGGAGATATCTACAATCTATATCCTACATATATTTTTAATATACGAGGATTTTCATACTTTCCATGAGTATATTTTTAAAAAAATATACGCCTAAGATAAAAAAAATAACATCAAAACTATAATCACTTTCAATATCAGCAAAATAAGTTCACAAAAGTTGCACAGTACACAATAGTGCCCTTTATTTCACCCAAATATTTGTTCCATCGTATACATGTATTACACGGATTTTATATATAGACAGGGGCGGACCGTAGTACAGACCCAGGGGCGGTCGCCCCCCAACAACAATTTTTTTTAGTTTATATATATAATAAAAAATAATTTTCGCCCTCTCAAAAAGTATTTTATTTAAATTACCGCCCTCCCAAGACAAATTTTCTGGGTCCGCCCCTGTATATAGAGTATGTGTGTGTGTCTCAATGGTGTTCCAAACTTCATATGTTAAAAAAACATTATAATCGTTTTCAAGTGATGAAGTGATTCTCTCCAAGGCTTCCAGTCCTTAGGGTCTGTTTGCATAGGTTCTGCTTTTAAAAAAGTGCTTTTTTTAATCAAATGGGGAGAAGTGATTAAATAAAAGTTGATAGTGTTTGAGAAAAAAGTGATTTTGAAAAGTAAAAGTTGGTAGTGTTTGGTAAAATAAGTGCTTTTTGTGTAATAGAAAAAGTAAAAGCACTTTTGACGCGGAAGCCGAGAAAAATAAAAGTTGTAGTGTTTGGGAAAATAAGTGTTTTTTTAAAACCAAAAGCTGAGAAGTGCTTTTTTAAAAGCAGTTGCAAACCAACCCTTAGAGTTCGGTTTCTCCGTCTTCGATATTATTTCGAAGGACGATCGTTGGTTTGCTTCATTCTCGGAGCATCGAATCAGGTTCCCAAAAGTTTTTCCCTAGCGACAGGCCCGGTCCTGACATTTTATGGGCCCGGGACAATACAAATAGGCTGGGCCTTAGGGATAGCGCGCGAAAATCTATAATTTAAAATTATACAATTTTACCGTCAAAATACGAGTATAATACATAAAAAAACTAACAAAGCATATGGTTAGAAAATATATAAAGAGCGTATCGATAAGTGACATTCGAGGATACAATGTACCTAACAACCGAATGAAACAAGTAGTGCAACTATTAGGCACAATAAAAATTTCGAATCAAGGGAATTTGTGAAAGTTATATCTTGTATGAGTAACTTTTTCATATTTTAAATCACATTTTCACTAGACAAAAACAAATTCTTAGTTTCTAAATTATGGACACTAAAGTTCAATCTTTCACTAAATGAGAGAATCGGAAGAAATTTGTGAAATATATCAATGGATATACATAAGACATGTACACTAAAAGATTAAAATTAATGTAATAATCCTTAATGATTCAAAAGAAATGGTGAAATATGTTCCCAATGAATACTAATGTGGATGTTTCAAAATTATGGACTTGTATCGTGTACATGGTAAATAACAAATTAGAAGTATCTAAAAATATAAGTTTGATTTTATTTTTTATTTTTTTATAAAATATAATTTATATATATTTAAAATATTTATGTACATACATACACACATATTTGAAAATTTTATGGGCCCTACTGGAGTAAAGGGCCCTGGGCGCATGCCCCTCCTGCCCATGCCCCAGGACCGGCCCTGCCTAGCGAGAACTCTCGCGTAGGGTTTGTGTTTCGCCGCCCTGGTGCGACACTTCTTTCAATCGACGCAGCTCTGCGCCAGATTGCCGTGGTTTTGACGCAGCTCGGGATGGATGATCGTGGCAGCGAGAAGTTAGTTGAAGAAGTGGGAGAGAGACGTAGGGATGATCGAGACATGGTTAGCGTGGAGAGGTTGAACGCTCCATCCGATGGCATGGATTTGGGTCATACGGCGGGTGCGCTACCAAGAGAGGGTATCAATCGAGCGACGGTCCGACCTCCGCTTGAACCACCACCATGGGTTGTACGAGGTGCTAGAGTCCGTGAAAATTTTCCTAGTAATTTTTATCTGTTTGTCATTTGTTTTCTTGTGTTCATCTTTGTTGTTGGTTTTGACAGTTTGTTTGATTTTTTAGCCTCTCGTTATGTCATTGGGTATGGTTGGATCTATGGGAATAGGTTTGGCTGTGTCAAACCCACTACATGGTTAGCGATTTGTGTTGCACTTTCAGGGATGACCGTCTCGAAGTCTTATCATAGGGTTTACAGTCGTAGTTGTTGGAGTTCAGTTGATGTCCGTTTTATTTTCCATTTGTATGATATAATGATCCCGAATCTTTTGATATGAATAGAGATTGTTTTGATGATAAAAAAAAAAACTTCATATGTTAAAAAGGAAAGCATGCGACTAGAATGCATCAACAAACCGCACTACATAACTTTTTATTATTTGAGGCTCCAATTAACATAGCCAATGTTCTTAATCAAAGAAAAACAAAAATAATTTCTAAACATGCTCCATGAGATTAAATCGCAAATGTAGACGAAGAAACCATGTCTTAAAATCTTTTTAAATTAATATGGTTTTCAACATTCAACTTTCGTATGATGTAGGATAGATCACAGCGTTCATGTCATTATGTGTGTGTATTGTAACCACAAATAGAAAAGAGAAAGGAAGACCAACATACTCTAAGAGCCCGTTTGGAGACCCCTTTTTTCGGCTTATCAGGCTTATCAGTCAGCTTTTTCACCAAACACGTAATTTTTACTTTCGCGTGCTGAATTGTGTAATAATCAGAAAAATTAAGGTTGAAGTTACTTTTCTGGCTGTATTGGCTGAAGTTACTGTAGATGATCATTTTAGCTATTTTTACATGTAATTTTTTCTTTATTTTATTAATAAAATATATTTTTAAAATAATTTTTTCTAGAATCAACAGAATCAGCCAAAACAGCCACTTCAGCCAGAACTTCATAAATTTCAGCAGAAACAGCCAAAACAGCCGATTTTCGTGCTACCAAACGGGCTCTAAATGTGAACATGTTTAAAAAGTAAAACTACAACTTCTTTTATGCGTCATCCGTGGGTGGTTAGATAGAATCATATATATGAACATGCGAGTGTATGCTGATTGGGGAGCTAAAAGGTAAATAGATGTATATAAAGTATTTTTGGAAGTGGAGATAAATGAAATGTTAGGCACAATTGTGCTCCGAATGAGAATTTCCACTTCGCTTTTAAATTAATCAAATTGAGAAATTATTGGTGACTCATTTACTTAGCCTTTTAGGAAATATATTTTTTTGCCAAATAATAAATTATTAATTTTGCACATTGAATGGTGTAATAATCAATATAAGTAATAATACAGACATACTTATTTTTTACTAGCATGGATTCGTTGAAGAGAACCATTTTAGGGTTTATATAATTTCGTATTTACTTTATTAATAAACATATATATGTTTTAAATATGAAACAATGGCATGTGTGTTTAATTGTGACTAAAAAATGATGGACAAAAATATGTCCCTGGTTCAAATCGATTGTTTTAGTAACATTTAGCTAGTGATCATAACTATGTCCCAAATTTACAATTTGGTGACCATGGAATTATATTCATAGTAAGTATCATCACACTTTTCCCTATGTTATTTAGTAATAATTTAGGAAGCTCCACTTTGAACTTTTTTTGTAATGAAATAGATTCAATTGTTTCGATGCACAATTTAAATTTTCAATAGCTTCAATGAATTCAATTAATTTTTGTAATCAAATGTGGTCTAAAAATTGTTAATTATTGTGTCATGAACATGTATTGGCGGACAAAAAAAATTACACTCTTTAAAACAAAAAGAACATATAGATGAGCATAATTATTAAGGGCAGGGCATCACCCATAGACTATTTATGTCATAATTTTAATGAACTACTTTGTGATTCAAGGTGTTTTACCTAATTGGTTTTAGATAGAGGTGTTTGAAGTGAAATCAATTCTTGGAACAATCAGAGGGCGTGAATGAAACAGTGTTGGCCCCCAAATCATACCCGACAATATAGTTCAATTGTCCCATGTTTCCATATGTATAGTTATCATCTTCAGCTGGAACAAGAGTCAAACAAACAACGCCTTCAGTTACTTTAACAAAGGCTCCATCCTTAATGAAGACGTCGCCCCCTGCAAAATTTGCGACGATGTTTGGCACCTTAAAAGTGCTAGTGGAATTGTAGCACAACTTGAATGGGGACATAGGATCCACTGGGGTCAATGGTATTGCATCTTTCACCTCCGACTCCAAAGTTTTGTACATATCTCCGGGGAGATATGTGAGAGTTGTTCCGGAATCAATGATAATATTTCCTTTGAATTGATGAAATAATAAAGATTAGTTCGTATTTGTCCATCACCTTTGTTTTATTTATTTATATGCATCATTATGTGTACTTCTAAAATAGTACTCGGTATTATAGCCTTTTCAATCCAAATGAACATTAAAAAAATAGAAATAATAAATTAATACATTTTATATACAACGTTAATTTATTTTAGTTATATATATGAATTGATATTACTACTTTTAAAATAGTACTCTGCATTAGGGTCCATTCATATTAAATGAACATTAATAAATGTTGAAATCAAAATCATCAAATATTCAAGTGCAACACATAGAAACTTTGATGTAAGTTTCTTCTTCAATATATATAAATGAATATATAGGATAGGATTAAAAAAGTCATTTTGATCCATAAAATAAGGGACATATGAGATGCATAGTCAAATGAAAATGTGTGAAACTATATTATACATATAAACACAGTGTAACATGTGCCCGGCCTTCATTCCTCTAAAGATATTAGTTAACTTTTTAGAATGCGAATTGAAAAGAGATTAAAGAAATGGGGTTGAGTTCCAAACCCTTCAATTGGAAAGAGTGAAAAGGTATTGTGTCTTCGTCTGATTGGAAAATTTCTCCCCTTCGAAGCATTTCTTATTTCTATTTAAGGAGAAGTCTAAGGCTTGATTTTAGAATAAATTGCCCAAAATATGAGTAAAGCATGAACAAAGTTCTAAAATGAGATCACATATATTTCCTTATCAAACAAAATGTGGCGCATTCACACTTATTTTGGGAAGTTCTTATAGATTAATATAGAAAAATATTAAAAATATCGAAAAATATTAATAAATGGATAGTCATCTAAATACCAAATGGGTGTCATATGTAAAAAACAGGTGGACTAAAAGTATGCATGTTAAATCTGGTTTAATATACTATCTTCATCCCGACTTAACTTAACGTTCTCATTTAAAAATGACACACTTAATTAGACAATAATCAAATAAAGTAATATAATTTGAGTATGTTTTGAGAAACAGTCTTGACGAGTACAGTATAATGGAATTGATGATACATGCGAGGTTATATGTTTAATAATTAAATTATCATGTAAAACACTAATTATTTCCTAAAATATAAATGACAACCTTTAGCCGAGAAGTCCATAAAGGAAAGTGCAAACATTAAGATGGGATGAGTAGAGTATTAGAGATTAAAGAACATAATGAAAAAGATTAAAGTATTAGAAAGAATATCTAAGGGGAGATTTTCGATTTTAGTCCTATAACATTAGGTAGTGCCCATTATATATTAGTCATGTAACTTACTAGCTTGTAGATCTGATCGTGTGATGAATGAATATTTGCAATCTAAGGATTATTTTCTAGGAAAGTACACTTCTAGGCAAAAAAATCGATACGGGCAGCATCTTTTCCGATATATTTTATACCGAAAAGTAGGGGTGAGCATAACGGTTTGGTTTAACCGAACCGAACCGTACCAAACCGAACTAAATCGAAACCGAACCGTATGCAATTTGGTTTGAGTTTGGTAATATTTCTTCCAAACCTTATTAAACCAAACCAAACCGAAACCGACAAAAACCGAACCGAATTAAAGAAATTCAAAAAAAACCTTCATATATTATTAAAAATTAACAATTTTAAACCGAACCAAATTGAACTAAACCGAACCGAACCGAACCAAACCGAAAAATAATATGGTTTTTGTCTGGTAATAATTCTTCCAACCCGTTCCAAACCGAACCGAATCGAAACCGATAAAAACCGAACCAAAAACCGATATGCCCAGCCCTACCGAAAAGTGTACTCTTCAGGTGAAAAGTCCTTAAATGACATAGATGTATTAATTATAGGACTAAATCTACAAGCGAGTAAAGTTGTAGAATTAACAATGAACACAACCAATAATTATAGGACTGGAATAGTAAATCTCCCAAAATTTATTAAAGATCGTTTCCCACTTTACTTTTTTATATTTTCTTTTTATTTTCAATTTTCCCCTTTTTTTCTTCTTGGTACTTTTTGCGTGTGTGTTTTGTTCTTCTTTCTTCTTTTCTTTCTTCTTGTTTCCCTAATCCCACCATCATCATATATATACGTAGTACGTAGTATATTTTTTCTGCTTTCTTCATCATCGTATTTTTTAAAGTAAGTCCAGTCATATAAACTTATCAACTATAGGAATCTTTGTGATATGAAGATTAGGGAAATTTAAGATAGAAAGAATTACATACCATACACGAAGAGGGATAGATGTGAGAAACATTATTTGAAAAGAGAAAAAATAAGAAGAAATCTAGAACAAAAAACCTGTCACTATTCACTAACATGTCAAAAACCAGTGAAAAAAGATAGGATGAAAAGGGACAAAGAAAAAACAAAACGGAGTAGTTTTTGAGAAGGTGAAAAGGAAAAAGAAGAAAAAAGGAGAACAGTTGGGTAGGTTTTTGTTTTTTCATCCTACAAAACTATAGAAGTCATATTTTAGGGGAAAAACATACTATGTGTTTGTTTTATAATTATCATTATATTTTGATCCTATATTTGTAATAATTTCTATAAATTTAATACGGAGTAGTACCTTTTCTCTGTGTAGAACCGCCGGAAAACTTGACAACCTTCTTGGCATCTTCTCCATAAACACTAACGCTGTTTAACGTGACCCAATAAAAGTCGTCACCTTCTCTTGAGAAGGGCGTGACAACGGTGTAAATCTCCTTAACGGCAGCTTCCGGGCCGAAGCTGATGTGGCTCCATCCATTCGGGTCGGACGAGAAGCAATAAGCGAACTTTCCGCCAATCGATTGGGCCAGCTGTTGGACTATCGAGGACGGGCCGAGGCCCAGGCCCACAATGCCCGAAGTGTCTTTGCTAAAGTCTCCGCTATTTTCGTGGCCACACCCAAACACGACGTCCTTGAAGGTGGCGCCGTCGCCGAAGGAGACCACGTCCGTCGCGACGTCGCCGGTCGAGGCGGAGTAGTCATTGTACGACACCTTGTACTCACAAGTGTTGTGGTCGGTGCACGTTTGGGAGTCGCCGGCTGTGAGTTTACACGCGGCGGAGTTGCACGGCGGCGCGACGTAGGTTTGACTTTTTGTCGGGTCAAACATGGGGACACTTTGGTCAAAGCAAACTTCACATGATTTACATTGCGTCCAGGTCAAGTCACTCCCAGTGTCGATAAAACCATATGTTTCAAAGGGTGGGGTCCCGATTGAGTACTTCATTACATAGCCACCCTGAGAAGCCTTCGTAGGAGTCTTGAATTTGGACGCGCCGGCGGCGGCGCGTGAATGAGAGTGGTTGGTTGCTTCAATGATAGATTCGAACCGGGTCTTGGAAGGGTCGCGGAAAGGGTTTAGCGGAGAATCCGGGTGGATGAGGTCAACTGTGAAGCCATTAGTGATCTCAATGGAAAGCACAAAAAGGGTAAAGGAGACTAATAACATTGAAAGATTAATGAAGGATTCGGATTTATAAGCCATTGTTATTAGTTGACGATTAAGAAACGAAGAGTTGCCTCTGTACATATATGCATGGTCTCTTAGCTTAGCTTCATCTAGCTTGTGCTTTTATTACTCCATTTATTAAGGAAGTAGTAACTGATTATTAGAGTTGTGATAACTGATTATAGTCATTAAGGAAGTAGTAACATGCGCGTATGTAATTATGTATGGTGACAACTCCGGTACCCATTTAAAAAATGGAGTACCGTACCTACCATGCATTTGATTGGTCCAAATCATTAAATTCCTTTTAATTTAGATTTAAATAATTCAACTGCATGATTCTGATTGGTCCATGTGGACAAAGGTACGGTACCTTATGGGTACCGTAGAATCTACCATTATGTATATGTATGCATGGATTAAGTTCAAATAAAAGTTTAGTTTGGTCTAGTCTGGTCTGAACTGATCTAGGCTTGTCTGAATTGGTCTAGTTTAATCTATTATAAATAAATGTTTGATTTTTATGTATTTTACAACAATGAAATTTTGGTCTTGTCAGGTCTGGAACGGAAAACAATCCAAGTTAAATTATACTACGTACTCTGTATCAGGTCGGGCCAGAGTTCTCTATCAACTCGCTTTTATGGTAGGGAGGTGGTATAGATGTGAGGTTGGAAGATGCAGGGCCGTGAAATATAAATCGGCGGCACAGGGTTTGGAGTGGAAGAGAGAAGAAGGGTCGGTGTTGGGAAAATAAACCGATTGAGATGGAAACCGAGAGGTGATACTAAGAATAGACACAGATCACAACCGAGAGGCCGAAAAAAAAAATGCTTATAAAAAAAAGCAAAAATTAATATGGCGTGTTTTAGGGCGTTTAAATATTTCAATGTAGCGTTGTGTATTTTAGCAATGAAAATTTCGAGCAACAGCGAGGAAATGAAATGTATACAGTCACAACAAATGATCAACGTTTGGCACATTTTCTTGTATTAGGAAAATAATGAGTTTTAGTAACATTAGTTTCTTGTATTACGTAGTATTAAGCATGTTTACTTTTTAAAATGTCAAATTCAACTGCTCTTTTGCTTATAAGTTATACCTTTACGTTTTATTTCCGGTGTTTCCACTTTAATTTATGTACATGCATGCAAAACGCCAAAACATATGGGTGCAATATATAAGCAAGCTTCTACTAATTATTTTATTAACTAAAAATGTTATACTGGGGTACAACATATTATTCAATTATTAACAACCAAAAATAAAATCCAAAAACACTAGTATAGTATATGAACTGAAATAATCCTAAAAACTGGCGCAATCAGTTGGCTTAAAGGTAACGGTTTGCTCTTCCAAATCATACCCAACAAGGTAGTCAATCTCGGACAAGTTTCCGAAGATGGACAGGTCAATGTTTGAATCCGTAATTATGGTCAAACAAGTCAACCCCGCCGCCACCTCCAAAAAGGTCCCCTTCTGCGACAGCTTCACGTCGGCGCCGCCGCTGAAGTGGGCCACAATGTCCGGCACCTCAACAAGGTCTTGGGTCGAGTAGCAAAGCCCGAACACCCCTTCCGGGTCATCCACGGGCGTGGCCCGAATTCTGGCCTTCAGTTCGCTGACCAAGCTGGCGAACAACCCGGACGGAATCATGGTCAAAGTCGTCCCAGAGTCAATGATGATGTTTGGTTCGGGTGTCCCTTTGGCTCCGATCCTGGCTGACCGGCCGCCGACGTTGGACGTTGACTTCACGGTCGTCTTGACGGGGAACTTTTTCCCGCCAACGCTGAGGCTTTCCAGAGAGAGCCAGTAGAACGCGGGCTGGCTAGGGTATTTGATAATCGGCGTTTTAACGGCGTTAGGGCCTTGAACTTTAGCTTCGGAGCCGAAGAGGATATGGCTTTTGGATTCTGGTTCGGAGGAGAGGCAATAGGCGAATTTTCCCTGGATTTGTTGGTCCAATTGCTGGATTATGGAGACTGGGGAGTTGCCCAGACCCACAATGCCTGATGTTTCTGTATAGACATTGAAAGAGAATTATCTCAACATAATACGTAGTAATCTATATAAAAACAATATAAAAAAAGATATGAATTTATTTACAATTATAGCATATTAATTAATTGAATAAAGCGTGCACATTTTGAATAACAGAATAACTTGTGTTTTACTATATACGGAGATATTACCCAAAATGAGACTAAAAAAGTTTGGAAATTCCAAAATAGGACTTTCATGTTTTTATTCCCAAAATAGGACTAATTACTGTCATGTTTTGGCAGTACCAAACTTCAAACATGACAGTATTTTCCAAATTTGGCAGTAATTAGTCCTATTTTGGGAATAAAAACATGACAGTCCTATTTTGGAATTTTCAAACTTTTTTAGTCCCATTTCGGGAACTTTCCCTAATTAAAATTGGGCTAAATGAGTCATCAATGCTTATAACGTACGTACATGTAAACAGTAAAAGAAATTAACATTTTTTTGGGTGATATTGAGGAAAGGAAATTAATTAATACTCCGTCCAATTTAGGAAAGGAAATACTTCTCGATTCCTATTAAAGATATTTTCTTAAATATGAATAAAACTTAATAAGTAAAGTGTACAAATAAAACTGCTATAATTTATTTTCCTAAAATAGGATCAAATAAATCATATTTTATTAATAATAAAAAACATAACTATTGTAATTTGTGCATTTAAGGTTGTACATGTTATATTCTTATTTGGAGTACAGTAGTTTAATTACATAAACTGAATAAATATATAAATATAACAGCTAATTAACTCGCGCGGGAGGATAAGTAATTGTGGACACCTTTACATAGATCATTTAGTTTGTTGCAAATTAATATGCTTGAAAATAAATAAGAAAAATTGTAAAGGATACTCTTAAAACGAAAACTATAAAAGATTTAACTACCGGTCAACTAATTAATACGATAAAAAAACGGTCAACTAATTAATGTTTCACTCAGCCATATATAGCAAGTATTATTGTGAATCCTCATAAATTTTATTTAGAAATAATTCCAAATATATGACCAAAATAAAAGTACTCGACAAAAATGTGACTAATAAATAAAATTTAAAGATTATAATTGGATCAAATGTTACATATATTGACATTTTTTCATAGATATTTTTTAGTAATACTATAGGAAGAATCACGTTTATTTATGCTCAAATATATGGATTATCTTTTCTTGATTAAGAACAGCGCTAGAAAGGAAGATGGTTAGTTAAATGTTTGTCATATCTTTAGTGATAATTAAAATTGGTATTATTCTATATAATCTGAAAATTAACAAGAATTAGAATGTTTAATGAGTGTTATACCATTAGAGAATGTGCCTTTGTTTTGGTGGCCACAACCGAAAACGACGTTGTCGAAGGAGGCGTCGCCCAAGGTGAGAGTATCAATTGCCACGTCACCGAAAGTCACGGACCGGTCGCCGTACGCCACCTTGTATTGGCACGTGTTGTCGTCGGAGCAGCCGGGAAAGTCAATGAGAGAGCATTGACTCGAGCCGCATGCGGTGGTTTGATATGTTTTGCTGTTCTTAGGGTCAAACAAGGGCAGGACTTGCGGGAAGCAGTCTGTGCATGGCTCGCATTGCGTCCACGTCACCACGCTGCCCGTGTCGGCGATGCCGTACGTCTCGAACCGCGGGTTCCCGATGGAATACTGCATCACGTACCCTCCTCCCGCCACTTTTATGTCGGTCTTGAACTTCGACGACTCTCCGGGGCGGCCGCTGTGGATGGAGGCGGCGCGTGAGAGCGCGTGTTTGTATGCTTCGCGTACCCAACCATGCCTTGTTTTGGAGACGTCGCGGAGAGGGTTGGCGGGGGAGTGGGGGTGGATTAGCTCCATTTTGAAGCCATTGATGATCTCAGCAGAGAGCAAAGCAAAGAGGGAAAACACTACCAAGAATGGGTTTAGATATGTGTGTTTAGAAGCAGCCATTGTTACTATTGATGAAATGAGGATGAAGTGTTAAATTAAGGAAGTTGATAGGATGATGAAGTTTGCCCTCAGAATGGTCCCTTTTATATCAATGTTTTCATGCAATCTTTGGAAAGTTTGTGAATTGGAATTTTAATTTGGTCAGATTAGAAATGGAAGAATCATTTATTATTTGACGATATTATATATTGACTTCATATAGTTTCCTTTTTTGGGTGCATATGATCAATATTGATTGATATCCATAAAACTAACTGAAATAAATTTAGTAGTTCCCATAGTACTTGATGGTTTAATCCACGGGGCTTTAATAATTTCTATACTTAACCGTATTCTATTCCATATATACTCCTTATATGATATTAGAACATCTTCAATG